TTCTCAGAAAAGGATATACAATCAATCAACAAACTTATGAAAAAAAATGTTCAACATCTCTAGCAATTAAAGAAATGCAAATCAAAACTGCTCCAAGATTTTGTCTCACTCTAGTCAGAATGGATCTATTAAGAATATAATCAACAATAAGTGTTGGCAAGGATGTGGGGGAAAAGGTACACTCATACATTGCTGGTGGGACTGCAAATTAGTGCAGCCGATATGGAAAGCAGAATGGAGAATCCTTGGAAAACTGGAAATGGAACCACCATTTGACCCATCTATCCTATTCCTAGGTCTATACCTAAAGGGCTTAAAAACAGCATACTGCAGGGACACAGCCACATTAATGTTTATAGCACCACAATTCACAATAGCTAAATTGTGGGACCAACTCGGATACCTTTCAGTAGATAAATGGATTGGGAAATTTTGGTATATACACACAATGGAACATTACTCAGCAATAAAAGAGAATAAAATCATGGCATTTGCAGGTAAATGAAGTTGGAGAATATAATACTAAGTGAAGCAAGCCCACACCAAAAAACCAAAAGCTGAATGTTTTCTTTGATATGAAGATACAGATGAATAATGGCAATTGGGGGAAGGAGCATGGAAGGAATGGAGGAACTTTAGATAAGGCAAAGAGGAGGGAGGGTAAAGGAGGGGGCAATAGGGTAGGAATGATGGTGGAATGAGTTAGACATCATTACCCTAAGTACATGTAAAAGACATGAATGGTGTGAAAATATTCTGTGTACAATCAGTGTTTTGAAAAGTGTGCTTTAAATGTAGAATATGAAATGAATTGCATTCTGCCATCATGTATAACAAATCAGAATATATTATATATATATATATACATTAAAAAATTCACTCCAATTATTGATGATACATATGAGGATTACATGTCTGGGGAAATGTGGGGCAGAGGGGAATTTATGGAAGAAAAGATGAATGTAAGTGATTTACCTAGGAAAACCTTTATTTTCAGGTGAAGGGTCTTTTTCCAACCAGCTTTCATAAAGTGATTTACTCTCAAAACCATCATCTGGGCTAGACATCTAGAAAGATAATCAAATACTGGTGATTAAGAACAGAAACAACTAAATTTATTCCATTATAAAACTATATATTTGCTAGGCATGATGGCAAGGGCCCGTATTTCCAATGGCTTGGGAGTCTGAGGCAGGAGGATCACAAATTCAAAGCCATCCTCAGCAACTTAATAAGGCCCTATGCAACTCACTAAGACCTTGTTTCTAAATAAAATAACAAAAGGGGGCTGGGGATGTGACTCAGTGGTTGAGTGCCCCTGGGTTCAATCCTCAGTACCAAGTCCTCAGGTTAGAAACAATCTGGGTTCCAGGCACAATGGTATTCCTACAGTTCTAGCTTCTGGGGAGGCTGAGACTGGTGGACTGCCCAAGCCCAGGAGTTCAAGACCAACCAGGGCAAAATGGTGAGTCTGTGTCCTCTCTAGCTTTCAAAGTTTTTAGTTTTGATGGTCTTCTACTTTTATCATTGTTGCTGCCAAACTTTATCTTATGAGACCTGACAAAGTAACCACCCAATTTATATTTGTTGTATGAAAGGAGTTGCTGGGAAACACAATTTTTTGAACTCTGAGATTTTTCTGTAGCAGTTCAATGTTCTTTTCAGTGTAACAAAATGCTCTGTCAGATTAATATTGAGCCTACTATACATTATAAGTTAGGATACAATTAATAAGCACTATTATTAGAAAGAACAGACTGGAAATACTATCTTCACATTTATGTCACATAGTAAATTTCATATTAAAAGTTTTGTTTTTATTTGTCCTTTATATGAGTCAACCAACTTAAAATTAACTGCCACTAGCTTAAGGGAAAAAAGTGTTATTCATGTATCCAGTCATCAGAAAACATAGTAAGACAGATCTTATATACCTCTTTTGTCAGTTTATACATCAACTGGTAAAGAAGGGGTGTACAGTCAACTCTGAGAGTATAATTGCCTGAAAAATAAATGAAACTACTATTCATACTTCCAAATGAAACTTGAATTGTACTTAATTCTTACATTATTTTAAAATTTTAAATAAGATATAACAGTCTTTATATCAAATGCATCATTCCCATGGAATAAAAGAGGGTAGAATTTTCTCTCCAGGAATAGGAGAATCTGCCATACATATTTTGGGCTGAAATGGCCTTAGGTGTCTGAGGCAAGAGCTCTCACACAATTCAGACCTCATCCTTATGGCAGTATCTCTCTTAGGCAAAAGCAGAATAAGGTTACAGAATTCCATCTGTATTCACTCATTCATTTCAATTTTACATATTAAGATATTAGAGTATGTATGTATGCTCTGACATTCTTCTAGAAAAATTAAAATTCAACAAAAGACTAGGGACATACATATGTCAAATTCAAAAGGAAAGAGTTTGTGCAGATTCCAATAAATACAGGAAATATTCCTGTCTTTTTATACTTTTTTAAGAAACTGTTTTAAAATAGGAAATATATCTATATAAAATATTCTGTAAATATTATTACAGGAAATATTTCTGTATGAAATATTCTGTAGAATATTTTTACCAAAATTTATTTAATATATCCGTAGCAAAAATGTGGTTAATACTAGAGTTTAAGTAGTAGACCAAGATAGATAAATAAATATGGTAAATATAACAAAGAAACTAAAAGCAATAGGTTAGTTATGATTCCAAATAATTGATATAAATCATTATTTTCTCCGTGATAAAATAGAAAATTAAGTTATTACTGAGAAGTCTCATAGGAACAGAATATCTGAAATAGATAATAAGTTGGAATTTATAGACTTAAAGGACACATAATGCATAATAACCATAAAGGAAAATTACTCTAAGTAAAATTTACTTTCTAAACATCTTACTTAAAAATGAAATAAAATTTACCTTCTATAGATGAATCTGAATTGATATAAGCAACACTTCTCTCTTGGAGTATCTTTACATTCTCCTATAGTTGAAGCAAAGTTGTTAATTCACAGTATTTACGATCATAAAAATATAAACAAAATAAGCACAATAGTTTTGTGGAAGAGTGATCTGCAAATATCTTTATAACCAAATACTTACACCTGCCTGTGACCATAGCTTCTGAGATAATGTTGATAATTGGTTGGTTGAAAACATTATGCAATTAAAACAAGAAAGAAGATTACTATGAATCAGTAGCTAATATATATAGTAATAGCAGAGAGCCCCAAAGGAAAAGAAACATTTTCAATATGTGGTTCTTTGATTCCCTGAATCAATAGATGTAGGGATGAGGTTCCCAGACTCTGGGGACTCAGCCCCGATACACTAAATCAGAATTGCTCAATGTGAGGCCTGGAAATCTGTATCATCAGGTATCCCTGAGGATTAATCTTCACTCCTGTTGAGATTCCCTCAGAGTGAATACCCATGTAAAGTTACCATTTTAAAAGCAAAAATAGAAAATTTTCATACTATGTTAATAAAAATATAAAGAAGTGAAAAATAAAAAAGAACAGAGGAAAAAACGGTGGAAAGAAGGAGTGACAGGTTTGAACAAAAGTAATTCTGCCATACACACACACAGACACAGAAGGGAACATGCTGAGAGAGCCCTTTACCTCTCTTTCAAGCTTTCTTCCTCATGAGAACAAGTTATAGTAAATACATTTAAGGCGGTATGGCTAGGCCCAAATATCTGTCACCTCTTTGCTCTTGCCTAGAAAGGCAAGATGATAGCTACCTTTTCATTACATAGAAAAATGTACTCGGAGCTTCCACTATAACAGGTTTATAATGGAAATGAAGAAGATTTCTCATGTGTATTTATAAGTGTTAAGTATGCTGTTGAATATGATAAAGAGTCTTGGTAATAAACTAGGACAAGTATTATTTCTTAATCGCTATTTATATAAGTTAATGCAAAACATATTAATCACTTTCTGTTGTAAATTTGTTTACTCTGAGCTTCTGAAATTAAACAGACATGTATATTTATATATATATGCATCATAAGAAATTACATATTTCTAAAAATAAATTCTTAATTAATATTTGATTCATCTAAAGTAATGTTCTTCCAACATGCCTTCAGAATACTAATGTAAAAATTAAAATCTACAACGTACATATGATCAACAAAGCATAAGTGATATCAGATAAGTATCTCTGTGCATGATTGTATTCTCATGTTTACTTGATTTGTATTATTTTCATAAATTTAAAGTAATGCAAGAGAAAATGAGTCAAGAAGGAGGCATTTTTTTTAAACTAAACACAATGCAAAACACATATGCATGCTTCATAAGAACTCCATACAATCTGAACTGACAAGAGTTAAATACAGGGTAGAAAGATAGCAAGTACTTTCACAGTGCACCTAAATTTATAAAAATGTATGAGCTCATCCCAAACACAGAAGAACTTAGAGATTACTCAATAGGGAGGCATAGGAAATAAACAAAAGAAAGGAGCATATGACACTTAGAGAATTCAGAGCCAGTTATGAATAAAAATCAATCATCTCTCAAGGAAAAATGAACCTGTGAAACTACACAGTAAATTGATTTATTAAAGTAATCCAAGTTACAAAGTTATCATTTTATATATATCCTTTTACAACATATATATATCTTTAGCAAATGGTATATATGTTATAAAAGGCAAAATGTAACTATGGTTGCTATTTTATGTGGAATTTGTAAATGTGAAATAATTATCAGAATATAATCATCTTAATTAAATAAGCTTTCCCAGAAGACCTCCAAGGAAACTTTAAAAATTTGAAAATTAGTTTCAATTTACATGTAAAAAATACTTCCTAATGTTGAAGTTACTGATTTTATTTTCACAAAACAAATGCAAATAGATTTGAGTAGATTTGTTTGTTGACTAAGAGGCTATTTTGTTTTGTCAAACTAATAAGAAAGTAAAAACAAATTCTATTTCTTAAATTCTGTCCAATCATTCTCCAAATTAAAACCATATAAAGTAATGGAGTCTAGCTGTGCTCATCCTGAGTTATATATTTGTTCTTTGTTGATCAAAACAGTAACAAGAACCTTGGCCATCTTATTTACCTCAGCCCATTCTGTAGAACCCAGCAGTCCAAATTCTTCTGCATCCCAACTGGCAAAAATGATAGTTCTCCTAGGTCTCCAGCCTGTAATCATTGTTAAAATACAGAGTTAGGTATACCTGCCTAGGAATAAAGGAAATATAAGGAAGTCACATTCTCTTATCACTTACCTCTTCTTATCAATTTTCCAAAACTCTGAGCAATTTCTTGCAAAACGGCTGTCCCAGTAGTTGGGTCAATACCTCCAAACACCCAAGAGTCACGGTGCCCTCCCAGAATAACATACCTGTCTGGAAAACAAAAACTTTGAATACATTATAAATATTTGTAATGTATGTCTTCAAATTAAACTTCCTCCTGCTTGAGTTTCTCCCACAAAAAATAATCAGCAAAAAGTAAAACCTTTAGAGTTGTACAATTTTCCCCAAATTTGGTAGTTGCAAATAAGTCAGAAAAATATCAATTGATGACTGAAATTCATATTTTCTTAGACTTAATCTTTGTAAAAACTGCTAAAAGAACTTGATGACTCACCAGGTTCTACAGATCCTCTAATAGTTCCAATTACATTGTAAATCCTTGTAATTTTATTGGTGTTATGAACTTGCATTCTAACTTTCCTAGAATTTTAAAAGGAATGAATTACTTCAAATATGGTATTATATTTACAGTTTTACAGTTTTCTTCCAACATATTTTTAGTTGTCAATGAACCTTTATTTTACTTAGATATGTGTGGTGCTGAGAATTGAACCCCGTGCTTCACACATGCTAGGCAAGTAAAAACTACTACTGAGCTACAATCCCAGCCCTTCTTCCAACATTTTATTATGAAAAATCACAAAACTACAGAAAATTATACAAGAATAAAAATACGTATATCAATCACCTAAATTCAACAATCTTTAATTCTGAATGCTCTGTAAGGGAGTTGCTTTGTAAGGAAGTTGCAGACAATGTGACAATTTACACCTAAGTATTTAAGCATGCAATTTGAAGTCAGTTTTTCAAAACTACCTAATATTTATATTCTTCCTTCTCAGAGCTGTATTATGGATACTTAATTACAATTCTAAGTAGTCTATTAAATATCTTGGGCATTTATTCAAAAAACTTTAAATACATCTTACTTTAAGTATTAAAACATTAATGAAGACATCCTATTATTAATTAATAAACAGAAGGAACATAAGCCTATTATTTGAACATTTATCTTTATAATCTATGATGGTGGTCCCATAAGATTATAATACACCTGAAAAATCCTTATTGTCTAGTAACATTATAGTTGCTGTAATGTCATAGCCTAACATAGTAGTCATACATTTGTGGAGATGCTGCTGTCCACTAACCTATTGCACTGCCAGCCATATAAAAGTGTAGCATGTGCAATTATGCATAGTACATAATATTATTTTTATCACTTCTTTATAGTGTATACCTTCTATTAAAAGTAAGTTGGTTATAAAATACTATTCCATGTTACACTGGCAGAAGCCTCATAAATCTTGTATTTAATGCAAATCAGCTAGGTTTGTCTAAGTACATTCTCTAATGTTCAAGCAATAATGAAATTGCTAATATGCATTTTTCAGAACATATTCTCATATTGAGTGATGCATGACTGTATTAATTATATTAATTCCTACTGTTCAATAACTTTCTTCAAGACTATGAAAGTAATCCCTAGGTACATAGTTGAAGAACTGCCTGAGTGCTGCCTGTGAGAACCATGATAAATTCTGTTAAATGACAACTTGTGAAGCTCCTGCTAAAATGCACAATTACATAATAAAAAATTTTCAGACTCTCATTGTTGATTCTGATTTTAAATAGTCATTCATGAATATAAACTAACCAAATTAGAAAAAAAGCGAAAGTACAATCAAGCTCTGCCAGATAGGGAAAAAAAAAAAAAGTTTCATGAATCCAGAATGACATGGGAAAATGTTGAGCCATTTTTTCACAAGAGAACATAATAAGCCTTTATTTATTTGGGGGATGGAGGCACCAGTTGGTTTCAATTTGTGATTATTTTTATTTTATTATATTTATATTTATTATATTGTGTCCCACCAAATTACAGTGTGTTTCAGAATACAGAATTAATCCACATGCAGCATTCAACTAAAAGTACCATGGAGAGAAAACTATTCAATGGTTTTTACATTTTAAGGCATTAAGTAAATTATTTTTGCTAGTGAGAGATAAAAATTCATAACACAGCTGGGGTGCAGCTCAATGGTACAGCATTGCTTAGTATGAGCAAGCTCCTGAGTTCAATAACCAGCATCAAAAATGATAATGAGGATGATGATTATGATAATATATAAATACAGAAACATTGTTTAGCATGTTTCTAAAAATATGATCCTAAAATATATGACTAGTAAGAAGCTAAAATTTATTGATATTATGTCATTAAATTAAGAAAATTAAGAGTTAATGCAACAAATGAGAACTAAATAAAAATGTTAGTCCAAACATGAAAATAAACATAGACCATCTGCTCAGACTCTCAAAGAATCTCATGTAAGTCTTTAATCTTTACATCTTTTTTTAATTTTTAGTAGTTTTGACTTCCAGAGGTATTCAAATGAATATCTGTGAGCCAGGCGTGGTGGCACACCCTTGTAATCCCACCAGCCTTAGCAACTATTGAGGCCCTACGCAACTGAGCAAGACTAAGTCTCAAAATAAAAACTTAAAAGGGCTCAGGATGTAGCTGGGTTCAATTCCCAGTACCAAAAAAAAAAAAAAAAAAAAATCTGCATGTTTATCCTATCATCACTGCAAACTCAATGCATCCCAAACAAACTGATCTCTGGGATGTAGGCTCCATACGATAGGGCTGTTTGCCTCCTCTGTTCACTTCTGAACCCCAAGATCCCAGAATGGCACCTGGAATTTAGTAAATGTTCAATAATATTTGTGAAATGAATGAATATACTCCTGTAAGGGAAAATTGGGAAAGATGCTAAATCACTTGTAATGAATTCCTCTCATTTATTATCTTCAACTAGACTATTTTACATCTTTGTACCACAAATAATTCATGTCCAATGAATTGGTATCTAGTGAAGTTTCATCTGAATCCTCCCTTATTATGAAATATGCCAGCTTTCCTACTGTTAAGTATATTAATTACTCTTGATTAAATCTGACATTCCTGATGAACTGATATATTTTGGTATTATCTGTAAATTCTTCTTTGAACCTATTCTTTCTTTTGGAAGGGTACCAGGAATTGAACTCAGGGACACTTAACCAGTGAGCCACATCCCTACTATTCTTTGTACTTTATTTAGAAACAGGGTCTCACTGAGTTACTTAAGGTCCCACTAAGTTATAGAGGCTAGCTTTGAACTAAAAATTCTCCTGCCTCAGTCTCCAGAACCTCTGGAATTAGAGGTGTGTATTGCCATGTCCACATGAACCCATTCTTTTTTAAATTTATTCCAGTGCTGGGGACTGAACCTGTGGCCTTGGGCATGCTAGGCAAGTTCTCTACCACTGAATTATCTACTTGGCCTTTTGAACCATTTTTAACATAATTCTGGATTTTTTATTAACTAAAGTTAAATGAAATCTGTAATACGTGTTCATTTACATCCATCTAATAATCAGTTTTTAAGTTATCCTTCATTATTTTAGAGGTCCCTTTGAAACAAACGGTAGATTCATCTTGAAGAACAGATGTAGTCAGTTGAAACTCATTCTTCATATTTTCTATGGCTCTCCCAACTTTGTTGACATGCCATATGTTTAGTTTTACTTTTTTCCTTACTGGTTTTGTGTTTCGTTTATGTTTCCTCTTTGCTTAGATCAGAATAAGCTATTATTCACTGGTAGCAGCAATGATTAGGAATCTCACTTTATGTCTTATCATTTGGTTATCTAAGTGAATCAATGAATTCTGAAGATCTCTGTGGTAGGAGAGATAGGAAAGAATCTAGTTTTTAGGAATTTTTAACATTGTTCATTGTGCATTGTAAACTCAAATCCATCAAAAATTTTGTATCCACAGTGGAAAACAGTGTATTTGATATCTAGACCTGGGATTTCTTATGTTTTTGAGTTTACTCTTGAACTATGACTGAAATTATAGAACTGAACTTATGTTTTGTGTCTATCTACTCTGGTTTATAAATCAGATAGATTTTTACTTTTTGTTATATTATGTGTTTTTTCCCTTCAGAAGATATAAATAAACTAAATAGTCTCTTAAATTAAAGGAAATCTATAGTGATTGATTATAGAGATTAAAAACACAGAAACTGAATGCTTCTGAATTTCCTATCAAGGAAGGAAGTTGAATTTAACCTAGTACTTTAACCTTTCTGAAATAAAAACCATTTCAAAAACTAAAAAACATTCTATCACACTGGGCATGGTGGTGCACTCCTATAATCCCAGTGACTCTGGAGGCTGACACAGGAGGACTGGGAATTCAAAGCCAGCCTCAGCTACTTAGCAAGGCCCTAAGCAACTTAGTGAGGCCCTGTCTCAAAAATTAAAAAATAAAAAGAGTTGGGGATGAGACTTGGTGGGGTGGTTAAGTGCCCCTGGGTAGAATCCTTGGTACCAAACCAAACCAAACAAAACAAAATACAAAAACAAAACAAAAAACAAACAAAAAAGCAAGCTATGGCATTTCTGATTTATCAGTGACATTTCCCTCTCCTGCAACATTTTAAGTGAATCAAACTTCTTAGTTCTAATCATGCAGGGTCATTCCACAAACTCTCTCCAAGTTCACACGGTAGCTAACATTTCCTGCCTGCCTTGAGCCATTTGGAAATTTTTATTCTTTCTGTAGATCTAACTCAACAGATACATTCCACAACACTCTTCCTCTAGAATGATGCTTTCATGTGTTCAAAACAACAAGTCTATTGAGCTTTATAGTAGCTACATGATCTGTTCATTTAAACTCACTTAATACACAGTAAATAACCAATAATTGTTGGCTTCTTTCTCTGTTCTCCAATATTCCCTCCCTTAACATAACCTAATGTTTCACATACATATATAACATTCTGAAAGTTATTGGAAAAAAAATTTTTTTAAACTTTAGGTGAAAGGAAAGTTTAAAAATTATTACTTGAAATGTTAAGTCTATAATTCAAATACAGTAATTGATGAAATTCTGAAACTAATGCTGAAATATTACTACAAAAATTCATTGATTCATGGTGCTAGGGATGTGGCTCAGTCATAGAGTGCTTGCCTTGCATGTGTGAATCCCCTTCAGTCCCAGTTTGGGGGGGCGGGGGGAGGAATTCAATGGTTCATTCTGTAAGTTCTTCTTAAGTGATATAAAATGATAAATTTTTCACTAGTGACAATAAGAAAAAGATATAAGCAAAATATGCCTGGTGGAACAGTTATCTTCACATTTCCATTGAAATATAAAACTTTTCCAAGTTATTAAAGTAATATAAAATTACCTGAAAGACTCATTCCCTGTAAAGCCAGGTCCTACATTGTAACTCACATTAAGAGCTCCCTTCCAGTTCTTATCTGGTGGAGCAGTTCCTCCCAAGTGGCTGTCAAGAGAGAATGAGATGACAGAAAAAGGCTGAGTATCACCATTTCCATGAAAAAAAAATCAAGAAGTTCATGCTGAGGTAATATTTCACTCTACAACTAAGAATTATTTATTGACCAACTTGTCCATATCCCTTTTATTCTATATTCTGAGGAGCTTTTATTCTAATGAGAGAGCTATAACTGGAGCAAATAAGTAAAATATATAATATTTTGGTGCTAAGAGCTGAGGAGGAAAAACATATAATAGTGAAGGCAGATGGGAAGCAAAAGTCTCCTCACCCTTGATCTTACTTCACAGTGAGTACAAGATATCCAACATTAGGAAATTTATAACTGAGTTAGGAAGAAATGAATTTTAAAGAAGCTGTCAACTATGTAGTGTGTACCCATAAAGAAATCATGAAGTTGTTCTGGCAGAAACATCTAAACAATGGGTTGGGAGATACGTAAAGAAACTTCAGTTACAGAATACAGTATGAGCAAACATTAATTGGTGTTTACTATATTCTAGACTCTATGCTAACTAGTATAAATTAATGACAACCCCATCAGGGAGAAAATTTACTGTCCTTGTTTTATAAATAAGCAAACTGAATCAGAGAAGAATTAATTGGTCCAAGATTATACATCTAGTAAGTGGTAAGCATGACTGTATCTCTAAACTACAGGTTGGGTATATATAAGTATTTATTGAATATCTAAGTAAATTAAAATACCTGAAAACAAATCTCAAACCAGTATCCATTTTTATCTTTAAACATACCTTTGCATTTGAGAATTTCATTTAGAGCAACTAGAGCAATGTTTTCTTATTTTCTAGTCACTAAACTGACTGTTCCTGTTATGGAATAGAAGTGTGTTCCATCATTCCTACTTCAGGAATTAGTTTGATACAAGACTTTACTTTTAACACAATTGGGTTTTTATTGGTTTTAGATGAGAAAATGACAAAATGTCTTCCTCTCATATCCAACTAAAACAACTATATACCGTAGTAATATTTCTGCATCATTATGTCCAATAGGATGTACAGGTATTTTCGGGATTCCAACTCCTTCTTCAATATTTAGTCTGAAAGTATAATCTGCAAAATCAAGTACATAAATGAAAACAATTGAAGAATCTGAGCAAAAACGATGTAGGAAATATTTGTATTATTATTATAGCTTTGCTTGCTATACACATTGTTTTCTTAGTACTGGGGATTGAACCCAGAGCTTCACCCATGGTAGGTAGGCCCTCTACCACTGAGCTATATCCCCAATACTTTTCTCATTTTATTTTCAGACAGGATCGACCTATGTTTCACAGATTAGCATCAAACTTTTAATCCTCCTGAGTAATTGGGATTATAGGCATGCACCAACATGTCCAGCCAATTTTGCTAGACATTTGCAATTATATAAAAATTAAAAGTCGCCCCCCAAAACCAAGCTATTGTTTTATAATGGCCTATTAGATTCAACAGTAAGAATTAAGTTGTTTACATTTTAAGGTAAAACTAATTGTAGGGTTTATAGATTCTCGATTTTGTTTTGACATTTCACCTAATTCTCTTTAACTTACAAGAATTTTCTTTAATTTCCTGAAGGATATTTTGAATCCTTCTTTGATAAGTTTCAGTTAACTAGATGCCTAGAAAATGTATCTCAGATTCTAAAACTACAATTATTGGGAAAAATTGAATTCATAAGGTCTTGGGAAATAAGAACAAATATTTTATTCAAACAGTAATGCATTATTCTCTTCAAAGAAAGACAGAAAACTATTGAAAGCCTTAAAACCATGTAAGAACCTTTGGCTTTCAGCCAAGATTGAAGAAATGTTTCAAACAATGTAAAAATGACAAAATAGATGAAATGATTGTTTTGCCAAACAACTATTTCTTATTAGATATAGTAATTGAGTATTGAAACAAAAAGTTTAACAATATATCTAGAAATTCAGTAAATATATAACTTAAATAGAAGTATCTATCTATTAACTTGGCCAAATTGAAATTTATAGAATACTGTATTCCATTTTTTTCAAATAAATATGAAATATGTGTTGGATACACTATATTTTGGACCATAAAACACATCTCAGTATCCATAAAAATCATAAAAGTTATATTCTCTGACCACAGTGAAATTAGAAACCAACATTAGAGAGATACTTGGGAAAACCCTGAATATTTGAAAACTAAATAACACAATAATAAATAATCTATGGGTTAAAGTAGTAATGCAAACTAACATGATAAACTATTTTGAATTGAATAAATAAAAACGGTATATCAAAAGTTGTACAAGACAGAGCAGTGCTTAGTAGAATAATAGCACTAAAACACCTATCTTAGGAAAAGGACAGGTTTCAAACAAATGAAATCAGATTCCAACTTAAAAGTTTAGAAAAAAGAAGAAAAAATTAAGGCTGAAACAATAGGAGAAAGGAAAAAAATTGGAATAAATCTAAAAATATATGAATCAAACACAAAATAATAGATTTAAAAATGACACTGAAAGCTGGTTCTTTGATAAGATCAATAAAACTAACCAATCTCTAATAAGA